GCCCTATCCCTCAAGGAATAAGGGAATAGCTTCAACCTCAATGTATCTTCGGTTACCCCCGGTAGCTTAAAAGCATCGCTCACCTCCATAAATTGTCTGAGATGGATGTGAGGATCTTCAGTTGCCATGCCACTGAACTGCCCCACGGTCTGGAGCATTTGGAACATCACGGGTTTCAGCTCAAAATGAAGTGCCTGAATTGCTGGCCTCACTATGCCTGGGTTAAGTCCATGCAAAATGGGCACTGCATAGTCTCGAATGGCCCTGTTTCTATCATCAATCAGCTCTGGTTGTGGAACAGGGTTGTTGGCAATTGCTTGTTGCCCGTTGTTTCCTGCTGCCCCTTCTTCCATGTCTCTCACTCCTGCTAAGCCTTGTTGCTCCCTTCTCCTAGCTCGGAATGTTCTTTCTATTTCAGGATCTATAGGCAGCAACTCCAAGTCTTGCGGTGGATTCATGCAAGCAACTTAGTAACCTGAGGAATTAAGAACCAAATGAATGAGATTAAAAAGTAAACAAATGTAAAACAAATTAACTCCTGTAAATATTTTTTACGAATTCAATTCCCCGGCAACGGCGCCAAAAACTTGTTGCGTGATAATTATGCTCGCAAGTGCACGTGTCGCTAACAAGTAATAAAGTGTACACAAGTACGGATATCGATCCCACGAGAAATGAATCACCAAAATATGTGTCTTGAGTTGTATAATCAACAAAACAAGTAAATGATGAATATAGTGAGAAATTCACTAAAATAATGTAAATAAAATGAATGCAAACTAAATGCGGTCTAAAGTGACTAAGAGTAACAATAATGTAGTGATGGAATGTAATTTAGTGGTGTAAATGAGCTAGGCCTGCTATTTTTCCTCTACGGCAAGTCTGACTAGAATGTTACCAAGAATACTGCAGCATTCTACTATTCTGTTAACAGAAACTCGTTGATGCATAAAGTTCTTCCGAATTGATTATGACGGTGGTCCTTTAAGCTATTTCCGACACATTCCTATGTGAATCCAGTTCTAGGACTGCAGATTTAAGCTCAGGTTTCATTAAGTTATGTAATGTGGATAATATATTCCTATACCATCCACTAATCAACAACTCAGCAAGTTCATTGAACAAACATCATTCATGCTAATCCGATTAAAACTAACCCTTCCAATATTAATCTCAATCTTGTATCCTAAGGTTGATGGCCAATCAAGAATAGAAATAAACATTAACTCACATGAATGAACAAGAATAGTAGATTAATAGCATTTCAGAAACAACTTATCATTCTTACAATATTGGTTCCATTAGCAAGCCTAGCTACATCAACTTAGTTCATAATGATAGTTACAAAACCCAAAGTTCCAGTATAATCCATATCTAGAATTAGTTGCTAAATGACAACAAAAAGAGTTAAGTTAACAGAAGAAGAACAAGTTCAGCTGGATCTTGGATTCCTCTGTGGCCGGCCAACAATGTCCTTCAACTTCCAGCTCTCACGTCTCTGTATTTTCCTTCTAGGATGAATATTACTTGATGTTCTGGTTTCTTCCAGCTTTCCTCCGAAGCTTTTTCCTCTCTGAATAGTGTCTTTTTGTGTTTTCTGGTGTCTTGGTACTACCCTTGTGTACTTTCTGTTTTTGTGAAACAGCAACTGTCTTCTTTTTATATTAATGCCCAATTCTCTCTCTTCCTCTTTTTCTCCCCCTGGCGGCTGCCAACTTGTCCTAAGAGAAACAGTCCTTTCTAGGGCAACACAAGGGCTGAGGTGTCACTGCTGATGTGCATAGTGGACCCATTTGACACCTCCTCAGCCAGCTCACACGGATTCCTTTTTGTCTGCATTGTCTAGCTAGTGCGCTGACATCAATCAGCTGCCAGCTAATCCTAGAATGTCGCCCAGAATGCTGCAGCATTTTAGTCCAGCAATTTCCTGCAAGGAATTCACATAGAATTAGCTAGTTTTTCACCTATTTTACTTCCAAATTACCAGCTTTCACTTCAAGAGGCGCAGCAATACGGAATTAGGCCAAAGTACATGCAACTCTACAAATCTAACTTAAAACAAACAATAAACGAGAAGAATCACTCATGGACACGCAATTTTAAGCTACAAAACTAGTGGATAACTCTATTTCTTAGAGTTATCAGACTCATTCTAAGCAAGGTATTTTCATCTCTCAACAGAAGTATGTTACAGATCTACTCAAAGAAATCGGCAAGACAGCATGCAAACCAGTGAGTACTCCAATAGAACTGAATCTCAAGCTTGGAGACGCAGAAGAAGATGCTATGGTGGATAGAGAGATGTATCAACAGTTGGTGGGGAGACTCATTTATCTTTCTCACACTCGGCCAGATATAGTGTATGCGGTGAGTGTGATCATTCAGTTCATGCACAATCCAAAGGAAGTTCATCTGCAGGTGGCATACAGAGTTTTGCAATATCTCAAAGGGACACCAGGTAGAGGCATCCTGTTGAAGAGGAATGGAGGGTGATTACGCCCAAACGTGTTCAAAAACAAGCGGTCAATTGTAGTACAATTTGAACGGTCGATCCCACAAGAAAGTGTTAAATTGAACAAGAAATGATTAGTAAATAAAAAGCGTTAGGAAAGTAAGCAATCAAACAAACAAAAAGAATGAATGTTTTTGATGATTTTATGAACAATTTAAAATGGAGAAAATTCAATAAATAAAAGTGGTAAGGCTTTGAGAATCCTCCATATGCTTTGTTCACCTATTTGGATTTTGATTCATAAATTGACTCAATTGAAAGTTTCACATCCCAAACAAACAATCAGAAAATAAATATTTGAAGAACATATGAATTAAAAATGTATTCGAGTAAATAAAATTCTAACGTTTAGAATTAGGAAAAATTATCTTATGAGAAATCCAAGAGCGACAATATACCGTTGGCAATAATGCAGTAAAAGACTACTCATAAAATAATACCGATCAATATATCATATAATGCAACAATCACATAAAAAGAGCTTGACTAGATTTATATGAAAGTTGACAATAAAATATATTGATAAGAAGAAGAAATATGATAAAAGAAAATTATTTAATCAAATGTATAAAACTTACAAACCATTGGAGAATCAAAAATCCAAATAAATTCACTACACATATAGGATCATCTCTAGCCTCACCCAAAAACTCTAGCCTAGCTTGGACATAATTCTCACAAAATTCTAAAGAGAAAATATGAGAATAAGAGCAAGAAAATAAGAGA